CCTTAATATTTTTACTAAAGTGTTAAAGTCCTGGTATCTCGTTTTTTTTCTTTAAGGGGAGGCTGAATGTTTGTTAACCTTTGTATTAGTGATATCACTTGCTCGTTAGAGTGTGGCTTCAAAAGGGAAGGGAGTGTTGGATATTTGTCAACTCTTGTATTAGTGATATCACTTGCTCGTTAAAGTGTGGCTTCAAAAGGGAAGGGAGTGTTGGATATTTGTCAACTCTTGTATTAGTACCATCATTTGCTTTTATTTTAAAGGTCTCTACGTTAAGGTGTGGCTTCAGGAGGGTGGGGGGACTTTGATGTTGCTCGTTTTCATATCCCCTCGTTACGGTGTAGCTTCACGGTGGGAGGTTTAGATGTTTGATTAGTGATATCACTTGCTTGTTTTCAGATCCCTATGTGAAGTGTGGTTTCAGAGGAGAATGTTTGATGCTTCTCAACCTTTGTACTGAGGACATCGGATATCACCTGATTCTTTTAAGATCCCTACGTTAAGGTGTAGTTTTAGAAGGGGTGGTGTTGGATATTTGTTAATCTTTGTATTAGTGACATCACTTGCTTGTTTTCAGATCCATACGTTAAGGTGTGGCTTCATCGTGGAGACAAAAGAATGGAGAAAAAAAAGACACAAGTCCACAGGCGAACCTTAAATCCGGTGTTTAACAACACTTTCCAGTTCATTGTTCCCTGGGAACACATTCGGGAAACGTACCTATCAGTAGCCGTCATGGACTTTGACACAGTTGGGCGGAATGAATTGATAGGGAAGGTGATCCTGTCTTCTCGGAGTGGGCCCACAGAGTCCAAACACTGGTGTGACATGCTGACTAAAGCCAGGACAGCTGTATCTCAGTGGCATAGGTTGAAAACATTGTGAAGGTTGGCATGCCCGATATTAGGACATAGATTAATTGTTCTGTCTTCGGACATTCCAGGGACCTGGTTTCTCACGGAAAACAAAGACATGCTATTATCCATGGAACAGACTCTGGATATTGGTGTTCATGTTGTAGAATATTCGTTACTTATGTGAAATATTTAAAGTTGGACGTGTGGCTGGACTGTTTTGTGTCTTTACTGTCCATTGTACTAGAATGTATCTGAATATAAAAAACATAGACGAAGACCCCAGTATTATAAAACATACCTGTAATAGCATCCGAGTTACAATTATAGGGCTTTCATGTTTATATTTATCTAGTTTTTGGGTGTTTTATTCGATTTTAGAAAACTTATCTTAATTTAGAAGAATCATTTTGTATTTTCGGTTTGTATTTGTGAATATTTCAAGCGAAACGGAAACATTTCCAAAAGTGAATTATGAAGTTTAATTTTGTATTAAGTGTTTTTCTATTCTTTTCATCAATAACCAGAAACAACAACAACAACAAAAAGAAGTAAGAACTTATTTACTATAAACGTAAACTTAGTTGTTTATGGATATCCACTTTCAAACTGTGAATAATAAAATAAACGCGTCTTCGAAATTCATGAATCTTTCAAGATCTCGCTGGAAAAAATAATTTTCTCGTTGTGGGTGTAACATAAGATTTTCAGAACTGAGATTTTCATAACAAAGTATATTTGATGAATGTGCTTATTTTTATTGTAGTTGTGAAAGCTGAAGTGTGAGAATGTATTCATTTCCTATCCATACAAAATAACTCTGTTGTAAAGTAGTATAATTAACACTTTTCAAACATTTTAGTTGAAGTCATATAAACAACTACTGTTACTTGGTTAAATGAAATAACCCAAGGAGAAAGCCATACTAACGTAATTACTTGGTATCGCAGAGTTCTTCCCTTAACGTAACTTTGCACATCTCTAAATACTTCCTTTAAAGTAACCTGATATCTTTGCGCATCTCTAAATACTTCCTTTAAAGTAACCTGATATCTTTGCACATCTCTAAATACTTCCTTTA